ATTTTGGATTTAAGAAGCGAAATGAAAAATAAAATGAATGTAGATTGATAATTCTACTTACTGAAGGAATAGAGTTTAACGCGCGTAAGCGTTATTTCTACGAGAACATGCTTTGGAGCCAAAAAACTGAATATCTCTTTCTGGAGCGCCTCCTTTGGTGCACTTCTTTGGAAAAAAGCCTATAGTTCATTATAATGCTGCGGTAGGTAGATGTTTTTTTGCAAACAAACTTACTTCCTAGATGGATCTTTTTCAGATACGGACGTCCAATGAGCCTGTTGCAAACTTTTGCCAGGGCAAAATTAAGGGTGTTTTATATCAATAAATGTCTTAGAAAACACGATGAGCGCATTGGTGAAGTTTAAAATGCATTCCTTACTTCACAATCTGCGTAAGAAATTTCCGTTCTTTTGTGCTTCCCGCTTCGGGAACGATACTACGGCACAGGTGAACATTTTGCTTCGTTCCATTCAACCCTTTCGCAGTTGCAATATGCACCTAGCATAGCCGACGGTTCCGCGCATAAATCGCAATCGGGAGCACAAGGTCAACCAAAGCGGATCTTTGTCAACGCGAAGAAATCGTGCATGTAAATACGCTGAGGTTGTTAACAAATGGTTAGAATCTTGTCCAGGCACATACGTTTTGGCGGATTGGTGTCGGCCATGTTGGAAATCGTGTAGTACCCCATTGCACAGAGGTTGAATGGAACGACACTTCTGAAGAAATGTTCACCTGTGCCGTGGTATCGTTTTTGAAGCAGGAAGCTAGAAAAACGAAAACTTCTTGCGCTGATTGTGAAGTTAGGATCGCATTTTAAACTTTGTCAATGCGCTCTTCGTGATCTTTGAAAAATTTCGTCGCTGTTCCAGCAAAAAGGCGTAAATTGCTGTCCACGTGAACCCTATTTTACATATAAATCAAAGCTTGCTGAGGCTCATGCGGAGATCGAGATACGCCCATACGCCAGAGGAGCGACGATTTACCCATAGAACCAACTCTTATTTTTGCTCTGGCAAATGTTTGCAACAGGCCAATCGCGGTCGAAGATAAGGGAGACGTGAAAAGCAACAACCGCGTTCCTTCATTGAGTCCGCAATAAAGTTACGCTGTTGCCGCTGAGAGGGGGAGCATATTTCCCGCTTCTGCGACGATGAGACGAAAGCTCGAGGGCAACGGGAAGGAGTGGAGTGGCGAGGCGCGGAGACTCCAACACTGACCGGATATCCGCTATCCGTCTCCTCATAGGAAGCCCCAGGCCACTCTATGCAGAAACCGCGCAACTCGTCGGGAATTCCCGCGTCGCACGCGCGGTTCTTGTTCAGGACAACGGAGCATTCATAGTCCCTCGTACCGGATGAAACCTCGTTGTTCCCTCGATAACACCCACGCACGTAGGCGGTTTTCCTCGGAGAGCGCTGCCGTTTCCGGCGGAAACGACTCCGCGCGCCCGCGAAACTCGCGACGATCTGCAACGCAGCCGCGGGGTCTCGCGGCGGACAAACAACGCGGCGCGAGGCTGCCAAATCGTGCGATGAAATTTGCCCGATCCGCGAGGGAAATGGGAGATTTCCACGAGGATTTGGCAAGCCCAACGTGGAGGTTCACCAACTGGCGAATTCGCAGCGTGGACGAGTGTGTTTTCCCGTACCTGTGTACCTGTACACGCGGACACGGTTGCTACAAGGGACCCGGCCGGGCCTAACGGCACAAAAGGCTGAAATTCCCCTGCGCGTGGTGGTAGGGAGGGGGGGACTTGATTTCGGCCCCTCCGCCTCGCCGCACTACGGTCTCCGGAGCGGCGGAAGTCGATTCAGGTGACTGGGAGAAAGGATGAGGATCCGGAATTCCTGAAATGATGCTCCAGCGAATACTGCGAGGTGGCAACACAGGGTTCTAACTATTTATATGTATATGTCGCAGGCTGATAGTCAAATTAGGCAATGAGTCAGAAGCCTCACCAAGTTTTGCATGTTTTTAATAATTAGGTACCTATTTTAAAATACTCCGGCATACACTAATTTTCGTTCAATTTGGTTCAAACCGCACGGAGTAAAATCTATTACCTTTAGAAACCAATTAGTGGTTCATATGGAACACCACTGATAGTTGTAAATGAACTAATGATTATCGGTCTGTGAACCATACTATGATACCTCGCATCATACTAAGGTATATGTATACCATCACTAGGATATATGTGCTATTATATATCAGTTCAAACGTATCGAAAAATTAGGAATTTTCCCCTTTTTATCAGGGACACGTCAGGGAATGCTTTTTTCCGTCCGTCAGGGAATTTTGAATTTTCCCCCGGTTTTTTAGCAGTCTTAGTCAGGGAAATCAGTGAAATGTCCGGGAATTTTTTTTCGAAAATTGCTAGACACCCTGTTCTGCATTGGCCAATTCATTTCAATGAGTGGACGTGAGTTTGGACTTGACTGCTCTCTGGAGTGCCCACGGTGCGGAGGCGCGCCACCGGTGAAAGGGACCGAATCCCACCGAGAGGCTACACCGGGCGAGGGAATGTTTTGTTTTGATTTCATCTGCTTCATCACTCATTACGGACAATTCGTCGCTCGGCCGGCAGAATTGCGCAACTCTGCTCCTCTGTGGGCCGCGCCAAGCACCCACTCACGCGGAGGAAAGGGTTCATCTCCGAACGGGAACACGTCCTTTGGGTCTTTATCGGTCGACCGCCGCCGCCCTCGGCCAGACTCTCCACGCCGAGTCCATTTACTCTGCTTACAATTAGATACACCTCCACTCGGCTCCAACATCGCACTCGTCCGAGTTAAAACCGCACACTTGCACAGGACCGCCGTCGGAGTTGGGCGGTTCTTCCAGTGCCTTCCGGCTGCTTTCTGCTCGTCGAGCATTACCTTCCTGCTCCTTACTGCCATGTTGCGGAGACAGCTGTAAGTGCGCTTGGACGTGGACCGCGGGTTGAATGGTCCATCGGCTGCTCCGAGGCTCACTTACTGCTGTCTACCGTAGTACGCCCATATTTTATCCTTGGTGACCCTCAGGAGCCTCGTATGAGGCCATCAGCCTGTCCTGGAATATATTACACGTCCATATAGCTCTGTTTATCCGCAAAACATTACAGAGGCCGACAGGGCTGTTGGAGTTCACGACAGTAGCCCACAGACCTCGATCGGACACGCTTGTCAATAAACTGATTTTGATTCATATCATGCATGGCACACGTTAAAAAATGTCCGCCTTACTCGGTGCTTTTGTCCTGTTTTTTTGTTTGATTTGATAAATCAAAACGAATTGATTGGTCAACCAAATAGTTTGTTGAATCAATCTAGGCGTCGAAGGATTAAAAAAGTGTCGTGCAGACCTGATATATGCAAATGTTTTCGCAGATTTCGTTCATCGATCGCGACAGTGGCGTGGCATGCTATGTGATATATCGATTGATTTGCCTTATACACCTATGGAAAAAGATCGATAAACAGGGTGTTCGCAGCGGACATTACAATAATCGATTTTTTACCGTAGCTTTCACTGAAAAAAAAATCTCTGTGTATTTACTAAGAAAAGGGTAAAATTACCAAGAATTCAGGGTTCTATTTGATCCCAGTTTTTTCTTGGTAAAATTACCATTTATGGAATTGGTAATTTTACCGAGAAAGCTCGGTAAAATCATTGAACTTTCTCGGTAATTTAACTGGACCTTGGTAAAAACGCCAATATGTTTTATCGACTGTAGAATTACCGAGATAAAATGGCAAAGTTACCGGGAATTATTTACCAATAAAAGTGGTATTCTTACCTGAAAAAAACAGTAAAAATACCGGTTTTAAGGTAAGCTTACCAGTCTGTCTTGGTAAAATTACCAATAATTGGTAAAAAAAAAACGTGAGATGGTAAAGGTATCAACGGACCGTGGTAAAAACGCCGAGAATTTTTTTTTTCAGTGTTGAATGGGGAAATATCGATAATCAATCATTCACGCCTCGCCACTGGGTCGCGAGCGGCCTGTCAACCACGAGATCCAACTTCATGCACATGCAGTCATCCACGCCTAGTTTTCACGGGTTTTGAGTTTTTCAACCGAAATACTTTTTTACTTAAACCAAAAAAATTGTTCAATTGAACAGCAAAAACTAACCAAAAAGAAACTGATAAATGTTGTGTTACTTTTTGTTCCATTTCCCACATTAACACGAGATCACTTTTTCTTACTATGTTTTACTTTTCTTACCTTTTCTCGCTGTGTGTTGCTTTGTGTGATAGGTATCGATTTCTTTCCATTGGTAGCATCAGATAGGGGTATCCTTCCATCAACCAACGGGATGGGGGATGGCTACAATCAATTATGAATACCTAACCAACAATGGTGGGAGAATGAACCTATTTCGACTATAAGGAAATCCGACAATACTAATATATCTGAGGAAAAGCTTACAAATAAAAATGAAAAATCGCTTTAAAAAATCTGAAACCATAGAGGAACAAAAATTCGAACCGTTGAACTTTTCACCATAGTCACCACTTTTCCATAGGTTTTACATGACGTCGTTTCACAAATATAACCTGTCCCCTCCTCTTCTTCTTTTTCTGAGAGTTCTATGACTCATTGCCCATGAGTTGAGGAGCCTATAGCCAATTATAGACAATTAGGGTTTAACGTGTGCCCTAACATGTATGATAAAATCAATTTCTAAGGTATATCAGTATATCACTATACATTTGAGTCGGAAATTCTAGTCCACCTCCGACTGTTATGAAGCAGATTTTATAAAATATTATGAGATTATAAATTTTATGTGCGGAAATAATTAGATAGGAGAATTAATTGATCTTTAATTGAAATATGAGAGCAACATTGTGCGCAAAGCGCGAGGATGGCAAAGATAGTCGGGCTGCAGAACAGCCCGGGGGACCGTGGGATGGAGGAGGGAGAGGGTTGTAGCTCTCTGGTTGATGTTAACTTCCCTCGTTTGCGAATTATAATTTTAATAAGTCTGGTTCATGTTCTGTTTCAGAGTGCATCCGCTCAAGCAGCTCTCCAAGCAGCCCAAGCCCTTTCAGGTACAAATGAAACCCAAGGCGGCCCTAACACTGTCTTACGAGTTATTATCGAACATATGGTTTATCCGATTACCCTAGAAGTTCTATATCAAGTAAGTTTACTCACACTATTATGACGTAGTATTTTAATATTTGTATATTCATTATTTGCTATTATTTATTATTTGTTATTTATTTTCATTATTCATTGAAGACGAAACCATCCTCAAACAAGTATACTGGGTATCGTCGGATGTTTTTTATTTCTTCGCAACACAACGCATAAAATGCAGGTTTTTTAGGAGTGTGATTACAGTTTTATTAAGTATCATATAAAGTGGAATGGGGTCGACAGCTACCCTACCCTAACAGTCAGGGGCTCTAGCATGACAGCAATAAGGCGTTTGATTTCAGAAAAAAACTGAAAAATATACACCTTGTGTCGCGATGAAGAGGATTGCCCTTCATTTTGGTTACTGCAGCAGATCTATGAAAAATGGCTTAAATGAAAGCTTATGGGAAGGAAATTATGTAGGAAAACCTTCACTTCGTATTTCAAGAAAGACGCGCAGGGTCGCCAAATATTCACATGTTAAATGCTAGAATATTGAGATTACCCATAGGACATTTGTTCCAATTTTTTTGCCCATTAATTGTTTCGCGTCCGGGTTATTATGTTAACGGTCTTTGTCTCAGTCTTTGATAGTCCTCGATTTTGAAGAATCGTCTTGAGTCCTGTTGAATTTTTCAGAGAAGCCCTTTCGCAGTTTAAGCTAGTCAGTATAAAAATATGCAGGAAAAAATTTAAGGGTTTTCTCGGGAATAAATCATTTATCGGGGAAATCTTGGCATCTCTCGATTGCAGCAAGCGGTAAGCGGGTCGGTTTTCCGAACGGTTGTGATAATAATAAAAATGATTTTTAAAAAAAAAAATCTTTTAATAGGAAATTCATGTATTATCAAGTACATATCGTCGTTTCCAACACGAGCGGAATTTCCATTTACAAATCGTACTTTTAAAGAGAAACAGTTAGGCATTTTCAATTGAAAATTTCACCAACTCTCTTCTGATTACACGCAAAAATCGGTAAAATGTTTAACAGAAATTGTGAGCTTACATCCTTGTAAAATACTGAATTCTTGAAGTCAGTTTTGTGACCATGGAATAGAGTTACGTTCCTTCGTTTGCAAAACAACGATTTTGGAAATGTCTCAAAATTCAAGGACTTTCCAAAGCAGTGTTCGAAACTCACAGGCGCCAACGCGCCAAATGCGCCTGAAAAATCGTTCATGGCGCCTAAAAAATGAACGGCGCCAACGCGGCTCCTTAAAAGTGCCCCCCCCCCAAAAAAAAAAAAAAATCCTAATTTTTCTGTTCGGTGATTTTTCGAAAGTTACAAGTTACAGCTACTAGTTCTGGAACTAAAACATCTTGCGTCTGACTTTTCACAAAATGCGCCGTGATATATAGGCAGAAAGTCAATTTGGCCCCTAAAAATTGGGCTTGATGGGCCAAATGGGTTCTGGAACTGTAAGCCAAGTTTCGAACACTCTTCCAAAGCGTTACGAGCCCTGTTCGGCCGAGATAATCACGTGTTTTCCACGGAGAAAACTCTTATTGCATTGGAAGAAATTCGGCATCGTCGGAACGTTGATACGGTTTTTCTCCTGAGCTCGGGAGTATGAAAATCCGATCCGTGGAGCCTATCAGGCGGAATTGCTGATTAGTAGTCGCGGGAAGCGGAGCGGATTTTTCCGGCAGGGATCCAGAGCATGCCACGGTCGCCACGCCGCGGGCCGCGAGCAGTGTCATAAAACGGTCGAGGCGAACAGAAGAGAAAATTGAATGGCGGCGCTATCGAGTGCTCAAAAGGAATCCATCGGAGTCGGAGTAGCACGGAGATTCCAAAGGACCTCTTCCCCGATACAAACGCAACGCGTCGATCACCTGATGAGCCCTCGAATACGAGCATCCTTACGGAGCTCGAGGTCCAATCAGGGGAGGGAGTTCCGCGGTGTCCGCATCCAAGGCACTCTAGGGAGGCGGAGCAGAGTAATTCAATTTTCGGTCAGAGAGCCGAGTCATAATAAGCTCGACAAATCAGTAAACATACAAGTTTCATCCATTACTTTTGACCGTAAGAGGTCGTCGGGGTGGGGCGGGGGGCTCTGATACCCCGCCCCCGGCCGCCTCTCTATCGGAGGATGTTTGCCGTTCCTCTTTACTTGATAATCGATAAATCTATTTAGCTACCCTTCCCGCTCCCGAGGAGGAAAGCGCCGTGTTTACAATGCCCGACTTCCCATCGCAGCGGTGGCGGTGGTGTCGATGAGGATTTAAGCGAGTTTAGTCGATTTAAGTCCGGGGTCGAGTCCCCACCTCGATATTTTCATTGCCTCCGAATTTCTAATCGTCCTCGGGATAGTCCCTTCATAGCGAGAGTTAAGACAACGCGGCTCATGGAAGTCACAAACGGGAATAAAGATTACACAAATTGAGCGTTTATCGTAATCTTTGATCCACTCACTCCCGAATTCCTAACTCTGTTACTTCTCTCATTCTGTTTGTTCCTCGCCGTGCTCCCAAATCCCCGGTCCAATCCAGTTTATAATCTTTGCAATTGGCGAAAATGTAATCTTTATTCCCGTTTTTGACAGTGTGGAGGCCTAAAATACGGGAACCAACCAGAAATTGATTCGTATTGTTTCACTCTCAGTATAAAGGGACTCTTAAGGGCCCTAGCCCGCAAAAATTCAGAAAAAAATCGGACATACTCATGCATTGAGACTTCAGTGCCAACAAATCGAAAATTAAGTTTTGGGTGATTGGGGGTTGCTTACCCCTCAGATGCCCAAGACTTTTTCTACTATGTTATTGGAGAGTAAAAAATACTTCTCCTGGATTTTTCGCCTTTTTGGTAACATACTGGCGCTTTCTTGCGTCCTTTCTCCTCCACGTAACTCTCCTAAGACAAATGGTTGGGTGACAATGACCCGGCTTAGGATTTTTATGGGTTCGAAAAAATATTCCATACTACGACACGATTCTCGCCAAAATACTAATTTTTAATCGAGCTTAGCGCAGGGTTCTTTAGAGACTTTTAAACTCTTTTTTTTCTTTTTCCTTTTATTTGATTATTATTGTTTTAGACATACATTGTATATTTTAAGCAAGTCGTATATTTTAAGCACATCGTATATTTTGAAAATATACTCCATCGTATATTTTAAGCAAGCTGAACCTTCTTTCTCAAATATCAAGAGTAAGAGACTTCACATCGCGCGTTGACGACGGCGTAGAGATACAACTTTTCGTGATTGATGGATGGCTGTGTGGTGTCTGGAAAATTGAAGGCGCTTATGATGCGAGGCGTGAACTCGCACTGCTGCGCTCAATACTGGCAATGCGGTTTCGCTCAGACTAAGCCTGATTTTAGTTTTTTTTTTTTTTTTTTTTTTTTTTTTTTTTTTTAGCAACCTAAAGCACCCGGTTTAGATTAACCGACAAGGGAGCCGCGAAGCGGACCTCAGATGATGGAAAGCGCTCTTCGGGGGTTGGGCTGCGTGGCAGCCAAGGGCGCACACTCTAGTAAAAAGGAAATTCTCGAAAACTTGGGGAGGCAGCCGACCCTCCTTGCCTCATAGGTACACACGAAGCACGGCACATTTCGAGTGTTTTCCTGATCAATTAGATTGCATTTTGCAAAAAGGAACCAGAAGCATTGTAATGATGCTAAGATTGTGCAACCTCATCCTTTGCAATATTTTGCTGAAATCATGGAGAAATATGAAATTTGCATGGTAATTTTTGTCTTAAATTTACAGTTTTTAGCAAGCAAAATAGAAACTGTTAATGGATAGGTAATCCGGTTTTTCCTTCAAGACAAAAGAAGTTGCACATTGCACAATCTTATCAACATCGCAATGCTCCTGGTTCTTTTTTGCAAAATCCAATTGAACTAATTAATACCTAATCATGGGTAATTCTTTATGTGACGCTCGAGAACGTCACGACATTCCCGGGCAAACCCTCCCTGGACACCGCTCACTGTTGCTTTGAACGGCGTCGAAGTCCCTGTTGCGCTTAAAAGACAGGATCTCCCGAGCGAATCGGTCGCGTAATCACAGGAGGCGCTGCAAGGAAACAATTCCCTCCCGCTAAGTCCGAGGATTAATCTCTTCCTAGCCCTCGATTCCCCTTTACTCCCCCTTTACACCCCCCTCCGCCTCGTCGTCTCAGTTTCTCTTCGCGTGTGAGTTTTTTTCCGGCTCATCAACCTCTCGACCTGCGCACCTTTCAGCACGACAGACGTAGCCCCCCCCCCCTCACCGCGTCCCCTTTTCTTTATCATTGAATCCAAAATATTTCTCATTTCTCCGCTGAAAATATTCCTTTGTTCCTCTTCTAGGAATCTGTCAGCGTGCCCTAAGACACTGCTTGAATCAACACATTTTTTTCTCAACCCCCCCCCCTTTTTTTTTTCTTTTTGAGAATAAATGTGAGAAAAAAACTCAAAATGTTTGGAAAAATTCTACGGGAGTCAACGTAACTGCGATTTGACTGAATTAAACAGATGTGATGACCGTTCAAGAAAGATAGGGCATTTTCAGTGAAGCAGATTGAAAGGAGCTTTGAAAAGATGAACTCAAATGAAAAGAGGCTGTGTGCATAGACGTGAGGCTCCGTGGTTCTATTTGATGTGAGTCATATGCGCATAAATCTTTTTCTGTATATTATAAATACGTTCAAATGAATTTTGGAGATTTCAATAGAGACGTGCCTCTCTTTTTGCAAAGGAATAGGTTAATTTATATGCTTATTAAGTTGCCTCACACTCTGGCAATTTCGTACCTCGGACATGGTTACTGAGCCGTGCAAAATATTTCCTAAAATTCCTATTTTCCTGATTCCTTAATTCACTTTAAACACAGACTGACAGCTGAGCGCTTCTTTAATATAAACGTATTAGAACTTTGCCGCTTGTTTTTTATTTCATGAGTCTTCGCGGTTACTTCATAGTGTTCAATTTTGCAGTTTTCACTCTGTGCGAACCCGAAAATAGCGTACCTAATTTGCGAAAATTTTCTGGCCAGCCCTTCACGTCGGCCGTCA